TCATCTTCCCCTTTTTGATTTATTTTTTTTGTGTATATGTGTGCATGTGCATGTTTATGTATGTGCAGGTACACGAACGTGTGTGTGTGTGTGTGTGTGTAGGGGAGGACAGAAAACAGCTTTGTGTATTGTTCCTCAGTTTCTGTCCACCTTCCCCCTTTTTGAGACAGACTCTCTCACTGACATGGAACTCACCAAGTAGGTGAGGACGGATGTCCAAGGAGCCCTAGGGATCCGTCTCTGGATTACAAGCACTTGTCCTGCATGCTTGTTTTTCGGGTGGGCTCCAGGGATTCAACTCAGGTTCTTATGCTTGCAAGGCATGCATTTTGCTGACCCAGCTATCTCCCCAGCCCTGTAGTTTTTGTTTCTAGTCTAGATTTTTTTCCATAGAAATTTTATTGCTTCTGCTAGTGAAAGTTTTTTCTTCTCACTTTTATTTCTAGTCTTCTGCCTTAATTATGTATAAAAGACATTCATGGAAACAAGAAGGGTGTCTTTAATGATGCAGACTGTAGAAGCATGGGATCTGATTCCTTGTGTGTATGCATGTATGTGTGTGTTTGTCCTCACCCATGATGCACCTGTGGAGGCCAGAGGTCAACATTAAGTGCCTTCCTTTATCATTCTCCACCTTATTTTTGAGACCTAGTCTCTTCCTAGCCCTGGCCCTTGCCTTTTGGCTAGACTGGCTAGCCAATGAGACTCAGATTTCTTCTGACGCCCATATTCCCCAGCTCTACGATTATGGATGCCACAGTACCGAATTTTAGTAGGTGCGGGGGATCCGAACTTGGGTCTTGATTCTTGCACAGCAAGCAGTTTGCCTCTTGTACCGTCTCCTCACCCCCTATACTATGGCACATTTCTTGATTCACTGTCTATTTTATCTGCAGAAGTGGTGGTTCTTTGCATCTGTGTGTGATGATGCTCACCAGCGTATTTGTGATCCAGTCTCGGCAGTAAACTTTTTAAAAATGAGGTCATTTTAGAACATGAAACAAAATGCTGAGTCATGGATAGACTTGCTAAAGCTGGAAGAATGTGCCGTGTTAACAGTAGCCATGTCCAGTTACAGTCACCAGAGCTGAATTTTCTGTTAAGTGCTTTCTTAATAAGAAACTTGGAGGTCAGTGGAAGAGTATGGCGTAGTACGCGAGGGCCTCTGAGTTGCATTAGCACCCACAAACAGCATGAAAGATACTTCCCATGGAAGAGTTCCTGTCTCAAGATGTGCCTCCAGGTGTGCTGGTGTGCACCCTGTACTCTTCAGCTGAGGCAGGGGTGGGCTGACTTGGAGACTGGTCAGTCTGTGCCGTCAGTTTTTTAAAAGTAGAACTTGGGAACGGGAAAAGCACTTAGGCCTTTTCTACAGCCGAAACAGTTAGTTCTGTTTCACAAAGGGTCCACGAAAATTGATTCTGTTATTTCCTCAGATTTGGGTCTCAGTGTTTAAGTTCACTCAAGAGATTCTCAGGAATTCAGTAACACAGAACGTTTTCCTTTTTGGGCGCCCCGGAGAACAGGAGGTGCATGGCCACTTCTGTGTGAGCGAAACTGAAAGCTTGCCCATAGGTGTCCTCTTGCTGAAGCCCGGCTCCATGCTGCTTCTGTAGTGCTGCACAGTAGGTGTTCTTTAGAAGAACTCTGTACAAGTAACACGAGATCTAGGGAATCTAGGGATTGGCATGTGAAGGAGCACAAGTTATAGATAACTGTCCCATTCATTCTCTTATTGGTGGAGGGGCATGAAACGAGGAGGAGGGACACTGTTAAGGAGGGCAAAGGAGACCAGTGGGAAGTGGGGGGGAGTGCAGACCATAAGGTGGGCATATATGATCCAAGAACCTTACGTACACTTGTGAGTACGTCTGTGAAACCACTGTTGATACAGTTAGCATATTCATAAGAATTCTAAGCAGGTTGTGAGCGTCCTGGTTCTTGTTGGGTATCAAAGCTTGGCGACACTCTTTTTTCCTATGTCAATCAGTACACCACAGAGATGAAGGAAGCCGCCCCAAGAGCTGTTTTGAGAGTGTATTCACTGTCTGCAACTTGGAATGTAAGTACTGATGTGTGATAGCTCAAGTGTGCAAATGTTTCCCAGCTCTTAGAGTTTCTCATGAGAAGTTCTTCAGGTAGCTGCTGCATATACCACATTTAAAGCCAGTTGTTTGTGTCCAGAGCAAGGAGATAGTCATTCAGGTATCTTATATGGGAGATGATCCGTTTTGCTTTGGCCTTAGTTGCTGTATTAGATATTTATGCTACAGGATCTTAGACACAACTGTTCCTTAAATTTCTGTTTCAGAGGTGTTTTCCCTAGTGAGTGTGTTGCCTGCCCACGTAGAATGCAATGCGTTTCTCACACTAGGCACCTCTGTTTCTTCTAGTAACAACCGAAGTTAAGTCATTGTCTCCCATGGAGGTGTGCAAAGATCTGTTGGCATACTTTAGTTCGGGCTGGGTAATATTTCTTACTGGCTTCTGGAAGCTTAACTAATGATAAGTTTTCATCGAACAGTCATGTGTATTTCAGGACATGTCGAAGTTTTATTTCTTCCATTTTTTCTAAAACGATGTACCATTTCTGCCTGTTCCTCTAAATCATTGTATTCTGCTATCTTTATCTTCAGTCTCAAAAATTCTGAGTTTGCCTTAGTAAAGCAGAATTGGCACGACAAATCCTTGACATTCCCATTGACCACAGAAGCCTGTGCTTGCCCTTTATGCCTGCAATGTCATACTTTTAAAACTTGCTTAGCGGTTTTCTCCACTCTGGGCAGAGTAGATGCATTCCAGCACAGTGTTTATATGGATTATCACCCAGTTCAGAAGACACAGGAGCAGAACTATGGATGTTAAGAAGTTTATATAGCAAGTGACAATGGGGGCGTCGGTGGACAACCATGGTTTGCCATGGAGTGCCAAACTGGGAGAACTCCAAGCCAGTGCTCGCTCAGTGAGGGCAGGTGGCTACAGTGTCACTGACCTGATGGCTGTTCTAGGCCGCGTGTGTGTGTGTGTGTGTGTGTGTGTATGTTCCTGCCTTTCCCTCTTTGGCCCTGGTTGCTTGCACCTCACCACACGTCTGTTCCTGGCCTTTCAGGATGGAGAGCTCCCTGTCAGGTTGAGAAGATTGAAGACAGGTTTGTCCTCTTCAACGTTACAGAGTTAGTGACCAAGGGTTACTTTGTCACTTGACTTAGGGCCAGCGTTTGTTTAGCATAACAAATGGGCATAGTTTGTGGTTCTGTGAGGCTGGTGAGCTGTGATGTCATACAGGCCTAGATTGACTGGGCAGTTACTTACTGTTCAGATCCTGTGAGGAGAGAAACAGGTTTTATTCTAGAATAGTAACAAAATATAACAAAACCAGTTACTTTACAGCTAGAAGGTCAGGAGACTAGCCCAACATTTTGAGTAAACTGAGCCCTGTGTGGATCCTGCTGACATTTACTCTATGGTGGTGTCTTTGTAAAAGTTGGTTTTCAGCTGTGCTGTGTATGGTGACTGTAGTAGGGACAGGTGGCCTCCTCAGGCTCCTAGTGAAGGAGAGTAGGAATGAGCTTTACAGCTTTTCTGTTTCATTTGGTTTGAGTTTTCTAATTGCCTGAAATTTAAATGAATACTGAAACTGTAGGAAATAGTTTCCTGTTTTATGAAAGGTCTCATGAGAATTATGTGACATAAGAGCCGTTCTTAGTAAATTTTTCATATGAAAATTAGTTACTTGACATTTTGATTAGTGTTCTGGGATACTTCCTTAAAACCGATAGAAATTCAAGTAAAATTAAACTTTCTCAGAAGGCATTATCTCTGTTTTCCCTATTAATTTTTGTTTCCCAAAATTGTGTTATCTGCTGTTTTCTAGGAACCTAGCCATTATTCATGACACTGTGTGTCATTAAGTTTTCAAAACTACACAAAGTGATAATTGCAATGAACAATCCCATTATTCATTGTGAATCATTCTTTTTATTAAACTATTCAAGAGTACTGTCTTACACATTGTAAAATAAAATAACTGTGTGCTCGTGATATGTTTTATGCTTAAATATTCATATAAAATGACATTTGGTATTTTGCATGTATTTTTCAAGGTTGGCCTATTTTTATTTTATGTGTATGAGTGTTTGGCCTGCATGTGTGGCTGTGCACCACAAGTGTATAGTGCCTTCGTAGTCCAGAAGCGGGCAGTGAATCATGTCTGTGCACCATGTGTGTTTAGTGCCTTCGTAGTCCAGAAGCAGGCAGTGAATCATCTGGAGGGGTTACAGAAAGTTGTGAGCTGCCACGTGGGTGCTGGGAACCAAACCTGGGTCTGCTGGAGGAGCAACAAGCGCTCTTAACATCCGAGCCATTTCTCCGGCTTCGTTTTACATATGTTTAGTGTTAAATTTTATGTGCTCTATTAGGTTTAGGGTTAACATTGGAGCTTTCAAGGGAAGAACTTTTTTTTTTAAATTTCCACCCCTCCTCTGCCATAGTGTCAGAAAGTTGTATTATATTCTCTTATATTCCTCTTAAGCACAAGAATTGCAGGTGTAAAGAACGAGGCACTCATATATATCTACATTAAATGAGAGGAAATTTAATTTTCAAGTCAAAATTTATTTGAACCTTTGTGGAAACTTGTGTGCCAACTTGTCTTTGCATATTGTTGAGAGTCACACTGGATTTTTAAGTGTGTCAAGGAGTAACCTCCATGTGCATGAACTGAGTGCTGACTTGGAGAAGAGCTGCATTCTGATTTCTTCATGTGTTCACCTCCATAGGGCTTCCGATTCTCATTTACCTGCCTGTGAGACCTTGAATACAGAACGGCACTGGTCATTTCTCCCCTGCTCTGAGATGTCTCATAGACAGGCAGAAATCTATGTGTTGTACATTGTCTGTCTTCCAGACAAGTATTATTCATGCTCCGTGTGTTCCAACAGGATCGGGCTTGACCTAATCTCTGTGTTCCCCTTCGCTAATCTTAGTCTGTTTACTTTTAGGAGTGTGCAGCCTGGTGCCTAAGATGGAAGTAGATATAAATGGGGAGTCCAGAAGTACCCTGACCACCCTGCCGTTACCTGTGGCTGAGGGGAGCTCGCCAGGAAAAGCAGAAGCCGAGAGACCCCGCTGTTCTAGCACGCCATGCTCACCCATGCGTCGGACTGTGTCAGGTTATCAGATCCTCCACATGGACTCTAACTATTTGGTTGGCTTTGCCACTGGTGAGGAACTCCTGAAGTTAGCCCAGAAGTGCACTGGAGGGGAAGAAAGCAAGGGAGAAGCCGTGCCGCCCTTGCGCTCGAAACAGCTGGATGCGGGACTCGCACGCTCCTCTCGTCTGTACAAAACTAGAAGTAGGTACTATCAGCCATATGAGATTCCAGCTGTTAATGGCAGGAGGCGAAGGCGGATGCCCAGCTCAGGAGACAAGTGTACCAAATCCTTACCTTATGAACCTTATAAGGCCCTCCATGGGCCTTTGCCTCTATGTCTTCTTAAAGGTAAGAGGGCTCACTCTAAATCCCTGGACTACCTCAATCTAGATAAAATGAACATCAAGGAGCCAGCTGACACAGAAGTGTTACAGTACCAGCTTCAACACCTGACCCTCCGAGGGGACCGAGTGTTTGCTAGGAATAATACATGAATGACGTGCACAGGGTTTAAACCGCTTTAGGCCAGCCTGTCCTCGGCTAGAGAGAGAGAAAAAAAAATCTACTGTCGTACTCTGTACATGACCTTTCACCTTAGAGATGGTTATATCAGCTAAGTGTTCCTGGAACATACAAAAAAAAAAAATTGTTTGGATCAAGTTTTGGATACAGGAATGAAATCACAGGTACTTGGGGCGGGGCGGGGGGATATCATTCTAGAGCACGCAACTGCGAAGAAAACAGAACGTTGGCCGTTAGTTTGCATAGCTTCTTAGCTAGAACAAGGCTTTGGTGCAGTAATTTCACCTTTATGATTCTGAACACTCAAATTGGGAATGTTACCTGCTTGGTTGTTGCTGACTTGGTATGATTCATTAGAAATTTATATTGAAGTACTCAGTGCTTCTTGGATCTCTGTATTTTACTATACAATGTATGTAATGATTTGTCTTAATGGAATTTAGAGCTTGAACACTGCTGAATTGGACCACTTTTTATTTTTAAATATTGAGTTTAAATATTTTATAACTGGTTTTGCACTGAAAACAATTAACATTTCAGATTAAGAGAATAATAATCTTTCTTCACTTGCCTCAATAGGAATATTGAGCAATGGATTTTTTTATTTCCGCATGGAAAGTTACTGATCTCTATGGCTGTAAAATATTCCTTTATAGCATTATTAAAGTGTGTCTTAATAAAATTAAATTTGGGATACAAAGTATTTATTTTACAATGGGTAGTGGGTGGGATGCTTTTCCAGAATGTTTCCGACATGAAATTTTCATCAGTTGGAAACATTTCCTTAGTGCTTATTTTCTGATTTAAAATCCACATGGAACTTGAAAATGGAAAGGATTCTCTCCACTGGGTTGTTTGGCGTAGTCCTGCTTACATCTCAACTTCTTATAAGTGAATACAACTTTAGCAGAGGCTCTCACGATTTTGACTATCAAATGCTTAAACTAAGTACGAAGTGATACCACTCAGCACATCCTGGGGTCTTTCCAGGGTTAGTTCTCTGCAGCACGGCACTCATTGGAATTCCAGTTTCAGGATTAGTGTAGGAGCCTAACGTGCTTCTACAGTTTTAATGGGCTAATCCTGGATTACCTAACAACTTATGTCTATCACACTGGTTTAATTTGTTGCTAAAGAAATAATTCCTTGCCTTTAGTAACAGAAGCAGCTCAACTACCCTTGACCATAAGTGTATGTAACTTACCTTTTGTAAACATTTCTATCTCATTCAGTCTTAAAGGTGCAATTTATTACTGATTTGGCATTTCTGGCTATATAGAACTACATATTTTATGTTTTCTTTTCGGCACTGTGAGTTTCTTAGGGGTTAGCAGTCTTGCTTATAACGTAAGAACACTTTTTAATTGATGAATGTGCCATTCCTGGACCAATTGTGGTTTTCCTCTGTCCAGATTGAATGGCAAAATTTATTTTAGAGCAGAATAAATATTAGAAACCCCAGGAACTCTTAATAGATGCTTATTATGCACTCACAGAGGCAACCATGTGACATCATGTATAAGAGAGCCATGGAGATGCTGGCTCATGTCTTACTGAGTTGATCAGAGGTTTTAGTGGCTGGAAAGTTTCCGATGTTGTCTATTTAAAGTAAACTGCACCTTTGTAACATATTATTGTATTGATGAATGATCACTAAGATTAACTATATCTATACAGTCAATAGTTTGACAATTAATAGAATCCTGTCAGATGCCAAAGAGTTGGGATTTTTACATTTAATGATTAAACACCGTTATTTATTGATGATTTACCCTCTGGAACTGTATTATTTCTAACTATGAAATAAAAGGGTGATGTAAACATACATTGTTTTGTGGTACTTTAAATCCAATACACCATTACTAAGCGAGTTAAGGATTCTGCCCAAGGGGCTGCTGAGCTGGCTCAGCTGGTACAGGCATTTGCTTCCAAACCTGACCACCTAAGTTTGATTCCCAGGACTGCAGTGGTGGAAAGGGAGAACCGGTTGTCATAAGTTGTCCCCTCCATGTCCACATACATGCCATAGCACATGGGCACACATGTATGCCTGTGAACACACATAAGTAAATGCATGAAAGAATTCCACTCAAGCACTTATTTTAAAGCCCTAGCTTTAGGAAACAGAAAAGTGTGTGTTTGGTGCTCATTGTCTCTTCAAACTGAAGGATGTCTTCCTGGATCCAACCTCCTCATTGAGAAAGTATGTGCCTGAGAGATTGTTCTAGGTGCCTGCATTTCTTGAGCCAAATAAAAATATATCACTTTTTCATTTTTCTTTTGTTGTTTTTTGGCAAAAGCGGATGTGTAAAAAGATCGCTATGATTGTAACAGAGCAGCTGTAGATAATGTAAAAACAGGTTTCCTAGATAAAAAAAACTAAGGAGTTCCAGGCCAGCCATTTTCAGAGAATTGAATTCCTGTGGTAGGTAGTAGCATGTTATCGGAGGAGGGAAGAGGTCAGAGGGGGAAGAAGCAGGAGAGTGGATGGAGATTCCATTAAAACGCCCAGTTTTGGAGACTCGGAGGGTGCACAGGTCACGTAGGAATCTTGGCGGCTTCTGTCCAGCTCCGTTAACAACTGTGGGTGCCTGCAGGGATGCTCCTGTTGATGGCCAGGGAGTTGAGGATTCCGAACATGGAAACCCCATGGTCTGAGAACCCCAAATCTTTGGAGTACTGTGCAGCTGGGGGCCTTCTGTTCCAGGTACATCCAAGCCTGTCCTTTCTCCTCACATTTTGATGCTTGTCTGTGGGCTGCCGTGTCTTTCTTACCTAGGACTTCCTTAATCGCCTCAGTATTTTTTACTTTAGGAAACTTCTAGAAGCATCTGAGTTAACTTTTAAAGGCACATTGAGCCTTCATCCAGGAAGGAATATGTCTTAAATCTTGAGAAAAGCAACCTAGTTTCCATCCTAATAGACTTTTTTCATCCTAATACACTTTTGTCTTGGAAAGGCTTTTATTCAATGACAGCCGTTGAACTTTTTGTAATGAGACTTTTAAAGGGTCCTGGCCCAAGTGGTTTGTTCTCAATCAGAGCAAGGAGGAGGAGACACTGTCACAGTTTATAAATGGCATAAATGCTTTCAAAGAGATGGGTGGAGAGGGAGAGAAGGTCGCGTGCTGTTAGAATGCAGAGTGCAGCAAGTATTAAGTGGAATTGCATTTTTAAACAATGTTATTTGATTAGGGAGATGGAAGTGGATGAGGAAGATTGCTTTGGAAAGATAATAAAAGTGATCACAAGGCTAGAAATGGGGATTGTCGGCACTGAATGGTGCCTCTGTCTGTATAATAATCGTTCTCTAGGTAAGAATTCTGAAATGGACTTCTTTGATATTTTACATCAGAAAAAAAAATAATAAAGCTTTTTTTTTTTCCCTAGCTGAGAACACTAGAAACAATCAAAAGAAGAATGGACTTGATTTGTTTTTTTTTGTTTTTTTTTTTTTTTCATGTGCTAAATTCACAGAGTACTGCTCTGGGGTGTGTGTGTGTGTGTGTGTGTGTGTGTGTGTGTGTGTGTGTGTGTGTGTGTGTGTGTGTATTTTGCCATTGTAAAGTTACTTTGTTCGAGGTTTCCTTAAATGGTTTTAGAGAGAAGTCTGAAATCAAATTTGCACGTTACCTCTGATTTTTGAGGCTGTGTTTGATGTCTGGATCTACAGGAGAGTGTAGGATGAGGCAAGGCAGAGAACTCAGCATCTGGGATGGAGAGGGTACCTGTACAGTCCTTAATGCTCCTGGCTGGGCTACTCTGGAGAGAAGAGCTTTGAACTCCTTGCTTTTATGGAAATGTTAGCAGCACTTTCAAAGTGCCGTCTGATGCTCTTGAGAGGATTCTTACTCTGTGCTGGTGAAGAGGTGGGAACATGGCTCCATGCTGACCTCTAGCATCATTCGCCACAGGAAGGTGCTTTGCCACACTCTGAGTGAAAATGTTGCTCATGGAAATACATATTTAGAAGTCTTTGAGTCCTCTAACTCTTGCCCAGGGCTTCAAGAAGGGAAAGTAACTTAGGCATGATGAGGTTTGTGAACTGAATGAAATTCAGATTTTGATTAGGTTGGAGATGGAGTAGCAAATATTGAGCATGTTTACCACCAGGGTCCTTCCTCACTAGTGAATGTGGCAGACGTAACTTATGCATCAGAGCATTCTATCTTAGAATCCAGATGTGATCTCATTATCTTTTTTTTTTTTTTCCAGCCAGCCATTGGGCGGCTGTGAGAAATTGATCAGCATGAGGCAGGAGATAAAACATATTTTCTCCTACCTCTGTATACCTTCTATGATGAGGAACAGTATGAATGGAGAATAGTATCAACAGTTTGAGTAAGAGTCCATTCTGAGCCTCAAATTTTAAATTAAGAGCAAGGAAGAATATTGTCAACACCATCATCTACAGGTTGCCATTGTGGACTCTGGGGCCAGAAGAGTTTTAAGACCTGCCTGTTCCTGGGACAGGTGGATAAGGTCTAGGAAGATGAATACAAACTTAGTGTTTTATAGAGTAGGTAGTTTAAAACAGGAAAACTCAGCCCTTCCGAGGTCTGAGAAACAGGCCTTACTTAATTTTCTTTGAGTGGTGGAGTGAGCTTGTTGAGTGTGCTCTGTTACATTGCTGATCTGTGTAAAAGTTGAGATGCAAAGGCACTTTTTTTTTTTCTCTCAAAAGTGCCTTCCTAAAAAAGTCTAGGGAAACAAAAAAATATGAGAAAGGCAAAAATCTTCGTAATTGACATTTATATGTCAGGGTATGCCAAAACTGTTTCCGTGTCTCCTCCGCCTGTGTCCGCAGCTGTCTGCCGAGGCGAACTGACCTACTTTCTGGAAGGGTTCAGGTGGAAGGGAGTTAAAACTGAAGTTTTCAAGCTGGGCGTTGGAGAGGTAAGAGCTGTGAGGGAATAATTTGAAAAGTGGTATTTTACTGGTTTTCCCCCTACTTTCTACTATGACCTTTATCCCAGTGCAAAGTGGAAAAAAGATATAGCACAGACTGATAGTTTACTCAATCATTTAAGGTCAGAACCACACTGAAAAAAATTCATTCTTAACATAGTTTGTCTAAGACATGAAATTGTAAAGAAAGCATTTTGCTGGAAAACCTTCCTAATATCTTGAAATGATGAATCTAGAATACTGAGTTAGTTGGTATGTTTCTGTATTTTTGTTTCTAATCAACTTGGTTAATATTTCCCATGTATCTTAGTGTCATGTTTATCTAATATGGTTTTATTGCAGTTATAGGAAAAATTTTGTAAAGGATTGGGTTGTGTACAGGACTGAAATACTGTTTACTGGCTGGTCATGTAAGGCTCTCTCTTGGTCAAAAATATGTTCATTCATTCCACATGACAAATCGAATTTTTGTTTTCGGGAGGAAAGTAGATACTTCATTACATTTGGGGTTGCATCGTCTCCATATCTGTGTTAGAACAATGTGGGCATGGGGCGGGTTCTTAAAGTGAAATGATAGGGCTTGTGGTTTTATTGTTTTGTTCTCTTTTAAGTTATATAGACTCTTTCTTTGACCGTTAAAGTTAAAATAATTGTTTTTTAAGAATTTCATACATGATCCCTGCATTCACATCATTTGGACCACTTCAGCTCCTTCCATGCCTCCATTCTTTTGATTTTTATTTGATTGATTGATTGATTGATTGATATTGATTTTTTTTGAGAGACTTTCTGACTAGGTCTTGTAAAGCCTGCCTTCCCTTCCTGGGGCCAGATGACTGTAGGAAATCCTGCAAATGGTCATGCATGGCTCTTCCTCTGCAAAGTAGGAGTTTGGAAGAGCTGTTTTGGTGAAGAAATGTTGAAGGAGGAGTATCCCGTGTGTGTGTGTGTGTGTGTGTGTGTGTGTGTGTACGTGTGTGTGTGTGTACGATAGTTACGTGTGCCGTTAGGGGGGTATGCTACAGACAGACACAGAGCTATAGCACATACATATTTAAACTTAAAACCACCAAAAGGAAACTACACTTGAGCCTTGAGAATAAAAAGGAGCTTTCCAGGCAGGGAGGGGAGATGAGGACTCCTCAGGAGAGAATGGTATCATCAAGCTGGGAGGGGCTTATCTATTCCACGTTCCCCCACAGTCCTTAAACCAGACTGGACGATAGTGTGCTACGCATGGCCCTAAAACCCCAGAAAAGGAAATTTTGCTGGCACTACCATCCCAGTCTGATCCACATTTTCTGGTATAAAACTTAGCATCGAAATTTCAAATCCTGATGTTTAAACTGCCAAATCTGAAGTTTTCAGGCATCCTCTCAATCCAAGGACCTTTTCACTTTAAGCTAACCGGGAAAGTGGCCTCTCCTTCTTTAAGATTCATGGTGGTCGGGAGTTGGCAACTGCCTCTGGGATGGATTTGCGCCCTGGGTCTCAAGGTACCCAGAGGAAAGGCATAGGTACTCTCCTGCAGCACTAGCCTGTGGAAGACTGGGAAGAACTTAGCTTATTTGTGAATAAGAATAGAACTGAATAGAATGCACCACTGTGCAATCTCCAAAGCCCGCATTCTAGTGGTGTTTGTTTTGTTTTTCTTAGGTTAGGGATCGAACCTAGTCTCCACCCATGTCAGGGGAAGCAGCATCTCTGCCACTAAGTTGCTTCTGGTTCTTCAGCAGTCTCTTGGGAGGCTATCAAAGCTGGAGCACTGGCTGGCTGCTCTTTCGAAGGACCCAGATTCACTTCCCACCACCCAGATGGCCGCCCAAAGCCAGCTGTCATTCCAGTTTTATGGGGTCCAGTGTCCAATTCTGACCTCCTTGGGTGCCAGGCATTCACATAGTATACTTACATACATGTA